AAAAGCATCACCCAAACAGCTTGCCAAGAGCCATGGTCTGTGCATATCAAAAGAATATTCTCTAGCACAAGCTACCCGATGCATACAGGAACAGCTTGAGTATATCTTCTACATCAATTGTCTAGATGTGATTATGGGGCAAATACTTCATTCAGGTTCTCTTTGCTCTCATTTTAGGATGGGGATTTTCCCCTCATGGCCATTTACTTCTCTCCTTCCCCTGAAAAGCAACAAGACCGGAGTCTTGGAGTCTGCAGCTTTGCGTTTAGTCACTGCTTACGGAGCCGCTGCAGATGGTATCTGCTCAATGCTACCAAATGCTAGATGGTGTCTATTAAGAGCACAAAAACCCTCATAAAATTATTTCAAAATGGTTTTAAAGTACACATGCCCAATCAGGAGGGTGAGTAAGCTCAGTTGAGGGTCCTACTCAAATATGTTAACGTAAATTGATCTTTAACTTACAAATTATGTATTTTAGGGTCACATGGGACGAGATAATGCTTGTGCTTCCAAATACCTCCAAAAAGATAATTTCATAGGGAGGACTGGACCTTGTAATTATTATTATTTTTATAAATTTGTTTTAATTGGACTGTTCCGTGGCAGGGAAGGCTTCTTTTCTCAGTGGGGCTCTGTGCGCAAGATAACCAGGATTAAAGACCACAACCAGTCACTGAATAAGAAAATCCCTGAGAAGAGAGAAACAGCTGGAGAGAGGCCAAAATCTCTGCCAAGAGATGCTTCAGTGAGTGAGTGCATTCACTCTGATGAGGGGGGCCAGAGGATAGCTCTTGAGAAACAGCTCCTGAATTAGCTTTCAGTCTTGTTATCTGGCAGTGAACTTTATAGCTTTCACAACGAGGAGTGGGCTTCACAATCCAGCCCAGTGTCCTTCCAGTGATGACATACTGGATGTCACTAGGCTGTATGAGAAAGATTGTCAGCTAAGGAAACCTGTCAGTGAGGGCTTGAAATGTTCTTTTTCCTTACTGGGCATTGCTTTTGGCATGAGAACAAAACTGACAGTGCAAAAGGAAGGTTGCCAGCAAAGTAATAATGAGAAAAAGGATTAAACCGAGTTTAACTTTCTAAAAGTGACTGGTTTACATTAACAGTTTGCTGGCAACACAAAGAAAGTACTGGGCAGTTTGCATGGTGCTGAACAACTGAGTATCCAATACACAGAGAATTGCAAAGGATTTTGCTCTTTCTACTCATTAGTGAAGACTGCTCATAGCTTTGCAGGATCAGGGCTTACCCAAACTGCTCTTTAAACTCAAGATTTCCATTATGTGAACAGGGAACGGCATAAGGTTAAAATATCAAATGAACCCTACATCTCTTTGAGGTGCCATTCACTTATTTCTTTTGAAGTCACTTGTGACTCTTTAATAAATTGTACTCACTGCATTTTTATGTCCTCTTAAATAAAACACGTGTGGCTCTTGGCAATGCAGCCTATACGCTCATAAAATCTGAGTAACTTTGTGCTAAATTCTAATTAAGAGATCTAATTGACCCTCCAGTTGCTACTCTGTCTATGTGAGCAGCAGCTGGGGACCACCTAATCATTCAGAGATCTGTGCTACTTTCCTCTTGTTTATTTAAAGAGCTGTACGTGACACTATTCTTTCTTTACGACAAATTCCCTTGAAATATTGGACAATGAATGAAAACAGCATGTAGACCTTGTGGCTATTCCTAGACAACCATCTGAGTGCTCTGTGAGTGATACTGAAGCTCTCTCTTTTTGCCTTAGGTCAAATCCCTTTCTTGTGTTGCGCAGAAAAATAGCAACATTCTTTATTCTTGAAAGCATTTACTATTAGAAAAGCTAAATTGTCAAAAGAAACATTTTATTGTTATGGAGATTTCACCACCATCATTTTCCACCATGTCCTTCACTCTGAGACTTTGTTATACATTTAAAAAAAAAAAGAAAAATCCAATGTCAATCATCTGTCTCTCCGCGGTAGAAAGTGACATCCGTATGAAGATCAGAGCCCTCGAAAGAGGCTTTGAACCCGCTGTACTGGTAAACATCCAGAACAGCTTTGCTGCAGTCATTACAGGTATTCTGGTGTAACTCAGGTCAGGCGCTGTGTACAGTGTCCAGCTTCTTTTGAGAAGGATCAGTTGCACTCCAGTAAATTAAGCAGTAACACAAATAACAACCCAGATGCCCAGATTTTTCAAAGGTTCCCCCCCCCCAACCTATTTAGCCATGCTTACGTATAATTAAAGTATACAATAGCCTAAATTCTACCATATTTCAAAGTGCCTGCATCTCGGTTTTGTTAAGGGCCCAGTTCTGTTGAAACGGTTTCAGCTGATAAGATTATTCTGGTAAGCAGGGCTTAACCTTGGGAAAACAAAGAATGGATTGAAATAGAGAGCTCACCCTTCCCTTCTCCACTCTTCCAGTCTACACATGCACGCACAGGCTGCCTGTGCTTCCCTCTCGTTTTAAACCCCATCCACGCCACTCAGCTTGCCAGGAAAATGCGGTATCCCCTTCCACGCGTGTTTGCCACCGCAGGGGTCCAGAGCCCTGATCTGCCTCTGCCATCTGCTGGCGAAGCCGAAAACATTCAAGACATTAAACCGGAGGCAAAAGCGTTGCCTACGCACGTCTAAAATCCGTCTTCTTTAGCTAAAACCATCACGGTGCAAACAGAAGAACTTTCTGCTGATGATGCTTTTCCCACAGCTTTGGCTGCAAAGGCTGTGCTGGCAGAGCCCTATCACCAAAACACCTCTAAAATTAAAATAGTTGCTGTTGCATATATACAGAATGGGTCTTGGCTGCTTAGAGCACAGTGACGGGATGGGATGTGAGGCTGATTTGTGTTGATGTTAAGGGAATTCAAAAAACCTTAAACCCTTAAGGTGTCTGCATCTGTTCTAGATTCAAGACTTAACAGCTGAACTTATCCTCATTAGGCCCAACTAATGATTTCTGCTCCTGAACTATGGTAAAATTGAAATGTAGATCTGGGTTGAAACCCTGGCAATGGAAAAGTTAAAAGAGATGAAAATTTGCTTTTCAGCTGTGTAGCCTAGGCCCGGGATGCTAAGTGGCCCACACAATAGATCTGCACACGCCTTTGTGAATGTTAGCTGCTTGTTTAATGTATTGTGCAAAGCTGATATTCATATCTGTGAGAGGCTAATAACACCCCTGTGAACCATAGGGTTCCTGGGTACACTTGGGTAATTGCTGCAGTTAAATGCTTTAGAGCCACAGCAGCCTCTGGAGAGGAAATTCTCATGCAAAATCCATTCCCAATCCATGAATTATCAGAGTCCATCAAAGATTATTCTCACAGAAGTAGTGAATAGTGAATTTCTTGTACTGAGGCTTGTTCTTGATCGGAAAAGACTCAACACAGCCTCATTATACAAACCTCGAAAGTTTTTCACATTTGCTGCCAGCCGAGTGTTACTGGTCTGTCCTCTACCTTCCAGCAAAGCTTCCTGCACTGGAGCCGCAGCCTCTGGAAGCGCAGAGCAGCCCCCCGGCTGCGCGGGTACCTGCAGCGCCACTGACCCTGTCCTTCTGGGAAGCTCCAGGCCTAGGAGAGGGATGGAGAGGGAACATAGGTCTGCCCAGGTTATTAGGCAGTTAGCTGATTTGACAAATAAAAACCAACCCAAACCACCACATGACATGACAGCCTGTTGGTTTTGGGGATCCTTTGGGAGGACGTAGCCTTTCACCTGGCATCGCCATTAGAAGCAGAAGGAAGGGGAGGGAGGGAGGGATGGCACACCAGCACGGGCACCGTCCAACTTGGATTTCTATTCCTTGTGCAACAGGACCTTATGAAATAGGTCTTACCTCACCTCGCCTCGTTAGGCTGCAAAGTAATTGCAGGCTGTCCAAGAGCATATCTTTACTGCACACCTAAATAAATCCATCGTTTCTGTACGTGCTTAGGGCCTACTTAGAGAAGGAAACTTTCCAGCCAGGGAGCAGATCTATCCACACTGGTGGATATCCACATTAGATTCCTAGTGGAATCACCTCACCTTTCCTTTGGGAGGGCTTTGGGAGGCTGTGGGGTGTGTAAGGGTGTAAGCCTGATCCATTTCAAGCGGACACGCTGATAAAACATAAGACATTCCGCTTTACACAGCCTCGCCACCACACATTTAAAACCTGCTTCCGCGGGCAGACGTGCGCTTTCCCCACGCGGGGTGCACCCCCCCCGCCTAAAACCACCATCTCCCGGGGCGCTCCCGGGTCCACC